AAAGACCTACAGTGCAGGTCTCACCTCACAATGCACCACTAACCATTTTGCATGGATAGACAGTGGACAGCAGTGTGATTGACTTCCAACTAACGATAAGAAGTAATCTCCTTGCAAATGAATGTTAACTGCTTGACCTCAAAAGAATGTGCCTTTACTCTGCTTTGCCTCTCTAGAATGAATACTCAACAAATGTGGGTAAAAATTGGTTTGGTGAGTAAACAAAAAAAAAACAGAGCTGTAACATAACATATGGTTTAAGTTAAACTGTAGGAATGAAAGTCTAAACTCAAATTTGAATACAATCATGACATACCGATGCAGTGTATCTGAGAACTTTCCCTAAATGTAAAATGTACCACAATAAGTTTACTAGGGTTTTCATTACATCAGGACTCCATATGGAAAAATATATTTACTTTTATGCATTTGGCAGACCCTTTTATTAAAAGCATTTAAGGAACATACAGTGGGTACGGAAAGTTAAGGGGGTCTGAATACTTTCCGTACCCACTGTATATAGTATATTGCATCTGGTTTTGTATATTTAATATTTATATATTTTTTTATATTTATATTTTTTCATATTTTATTGTCACTCCCACCTGTTACTATAATGTAAATGTGAAAATGTAATTTTGTTCCCTGTAGGTATCCAAAACCCCGCCATACCCCTCCTAAACCTCTTCCTCACATATAAAATCTGTATTGGTCTCCTGACAGAGAGATACGGGTTATCACTTCAAAATTGTATCGCTTCATCACCACATAGGGACCAGACTCACACCCGTTCCCTTGTAAATAGTCTTATCTTCTAAGCTAAAGTTAGCTCAGCGCTGTGCTTTGAATTAAGATGAGTGACGGTGACAGGATCTCTGCAACATGAAGAACTGAGAAAATACAACTGGGCCTTGTTTAGGAGAGCACCATGTTTGCATATCGAGACAGAAACAACATGAAAGGATCCATTTTGCCACTCAGTACCATGGCAGTTTCTGACCTAGTTTCCCAAAGCCAATGCGCCCATGTTAAAATTATCAAAATCTGCCGGTTAAAATGTCTGTGTGGGGTTCTCCATTTAAAAATACATGGTAAACTCCCACCGCAGGGCAAACGTGCGATGTCAATGTCTGTTCACACCGTCAAACACTTCCTGCTGTGTTTCCAAGGTGTGACATCATTCTCACCTACTTAAACTTTGCATGCCTAGACTCATCTGTTGCCCTCAGAGAAGAGTGAATGTCACTCGACAGTCCGCTTTAATTAAACCCAGAGGGAAATGTATTAATTACTGCACAGCGCCTGTGACTGTGGGTGAGGTGTCTTGGGTCTGCATATGATTAGAATGCTGATTATGATGTACTGTGGAGGATTCCATCATACTCAACTGTCCTAATGATTCATTCATACAATTAACACACGTTGATTTGCTTGAATGGCTTTGGTACTATTTTCACAATTTAAAAAGTGCTACATTCTCAGTTCAAAACTTCATTCATTCAAAACCTGCTACTGTGCTTCCATTAGCATACAACTTTCCTTTCACAAAACAATTATGCCATTGTGGCAGGTAATGAAAACATTTGATTTAATCACCAAAAACAATATGATCTTTCAATTTAGCAATTTTCACAAATTATGCAAGATCAAATGACCTTTAGAAATGCTGAATGTAGAAATCACAATACGTAATATAAACCAAATAGTTTGTAATTATATATATATATATATATATATATATATATAATTAAAAAATAAAATATATAATTAAATTATATTATATAAATTTAATACAGGGCTCCAGACTGCGACCAAATGGTTGCATTTTGCGACCATTTTTTCTGCCGCTGCGACAAATTTTGTGAGCGGTTGCACTGGCGCGACCACCGCGTTGTCCAACTCATACGCTCTGCCATTTCTGTTGCATTTGAAAAACATAAAATGGCAAACGAAACGAAAGCGAAACTAAACCGCGCTACGTTTCAGCTGCGCAGCGCGGACCGTTTATCAGCTCGGACCGCGACGCAAACAAACTTATCCGAGCTCAGAACAGCTTTACACGGGAGCCAGAGTTCATTTCGCGACACTGTTACTGCACAGATGCAACAGTGCTGCGATAATATCGTTGTTAAAAATATACTTTGTGGTAAACAAAATACACTTATGTAAAATTTAAAAATACATCAAATCACAATTATAACCAGTAGATGGCAGCAGAGGAGCACGTATTGGCTTATTAGTCATTCATTTCTACATTTTCTCTATATTTTGAAATTATAAAATCACTATTATAAAATATCAAATCATCAAGAAATCTGATTTTATCAGAATTTTACACATTTTTTGTGTATGAAGTAAGAAAAGTCACAAAGTGCCTTGAAAATCAAACTTTTCCTCAATTTGCTACTAAATCACACATAATCACTGAAGTTGGTCAGTTCCATATACTAGAAGAATAATGGTATATTTAATAAGAGTGGAGTATATATATTTTCTATATAAAAATTAGATTTTGCACCCGTTACTGTTGTTAATAAAAGTACATTTTGTATGCATCTTAACTTAAAGCTCTGTGCTTTACTGTCAAATCTGTAAAAACAATAAACAAAAGAAAAATAAACAAGAAATGAACATGTAATATTATTAGTAAATGCAAAAAAATAGTAATTTGATGATTAAATGATCTATATTTTAATACTCCCGCACACTACCCCCAGCGCAACCAAATCTGCTCCTGGCGCCACCATCTGTAGAACTTAGTGGTGCTGGTGCCACTGCTCTCAAATGTTAGTCTGGAGCCCTGTAATTTATAAACAAATATATAAATAGAAAAAAATTAATATATAAATAGAATTTTTTTATATATATATTTATATTAATGAAAAATTATATATTAAAAATGAATTAAAATTAATCAAATAAATATTAATATTTTTTTTATTTTCATGATAAAATCTCTATATTGATTTTTCTTTAGATTACAGTAGATGAAGAGGTACTTTGTGATTTTGTGTGACAAGTAAGCATTAAAACTGCATTTTTTGACAGTGAATGACAGTGAGTTTTGAGAGTGAAAGTTTTATATTATATTATATTACACATTATTATTATTTTATTATAAATGTACACTTGTGCACTGCTATATTTGTGGATGTCTACTCATAAAGATTAAGGACAGCCAGCCGTCTCTGTAAATTCCTACTCCTCTGGTAGTCTTTGACCTTCCATTTAAACTGGTATAGATTATAGTGCTTGGCTCACATTCCCCGTGAGATATGCTTTTCACAAGCCTCTCTATCCAGGTCCCCTGTGTTTTACTTCATCGCTGAGAACCTTAGCAAGTTTTTATCTGTTTCACTGTGTCATCGGCATCCTATCTCTCCTCGCATCGAAGTCCTTGCGATCCATCTGTCTCTTTCACTGACTTACAACCGGTGGCCGCCTAATCCAATTACTAGTTCTGCACTTTCTTGCCTCCCTCTGCTTGTTTTGATCTAGTTTCAACAATGGCTCTCAATAAAAGCCCCTTCCCTTTTACTTCATCGCTGAGAACCTTAGCAAGTTTTTATCTGTTTCACTGTGTCATCGGCATCGTATCTCTCCTCGCATCGAAGTCCTTGCGATCCATCTGTCTCTTTCACTGACTTACAACCGGTGGCTGCCTAATCCAATTACTAGTTCTGCACTTTCTTGCCTCCCTTTGCTTGTTTTGATCTAGTTTCAACAATGGCTCTCAATAAAAGCCCCTTCCGAGCAGGCCGTGCACATCTCTCTGACACGTCCCATTCGGACTGGGCTACATTTCGAAGAACTCATTGATTGTCGGGATTGATTTGTTTCAGGCGGGGCCAAACTCCTAATCACTTCTGTTTCGCCGGTTGACATGGACAGAATAAGACACTGAGAGACGAGAGCTGCTGATGCACTCTTATAGATCAGACTCTTTACCCTTTTTTTTATATTGCACCTGCTTATTTCGACTGGACAAAGTTTATTTGCATGTGACCACACATAGTGAATACATCCATGCAAGGGGAATAATTTCCTGCAGCAACCCATTGATAAAATGTTAATATTAGCTACATGTTCCCAGTAGTTCCTGATTTAATGATATCTACACATTTTACACATGAAGTGTTCTTATAATGTGTATAAAACTACAAATAAAAAATAAAGAGCATGCTGCGACAGGGTGCCAGTAGGAAGGCATCTAAGATGGATGGGTTTATTATGGAGTATTATTATTATTATTATTATTAATAATAATACAAATGTGAATAAAATATTGAAATAACATTAATAATTTTAATAACAAGTGCCTCATTTATTCAATAAATAACATAATAATATTAACAAGGCTGTCAGAAGCTGTTGCAATATTAATTGCCAAAGTGTGCACAGTTATAATAATAAGAATTATAATAAATATGGGATTTTAAAAAAATAATAAAAATTGTATATACATACAATTATGTACAGATTACAGTAAGTGTAGGTACTTTATGATTTTGTGTGGCAAAGAAGCATTAAAACTACATTTTTGATTATCTTTTTGCCATTATGTGAAAGTTTTTGGAAGTTTTGAAAATGTACCACTTTATTGCGAATAATACCGACGCAATTTTAAAACAAAATTGATCTGTTGATTGTTACTTTTTTTAAACTTTATTTTTAATTAAATAAATTATTATTCTTCATAATAAATATAGACAAATAATAAAATAATATAATTTTGTGTGATATTGCCAAGGTTGCAGGTAGATTTGATGAAATACAAACACATGAGCTGATATCACACATCTTTTTTTTTTTACAAAACTACAAATAAAACCAAGAAAAAAAAGAAACAGCATGCTGCGATGGGGGCCATCTTTCCGGCTGTCACTGATGAGGCCAGTAGGAGGCCATCCGAGATGGACAGGTCCACGGTGTGAAACTGTTTGCGACACAGTGTGAAATAAACAGGCAGAATAAGAATGGGCAATGCTGGGCAGACTTACCGCGCAGGAGATCAGAGGTGGAGTGTGGCGAGGCATGATTGCGGAACAGCTGCCAATCAAAGTCATCCTCCTCCCCTTGGCTGAACTCGCACAGACTGGGGTCGGAGTCCTCATCAAACGTGCAGCCCACTGCCGAAAGAAGAGAGAAGCAAAACATGTTATCGGTCTTGATGCAAGTCCGTGACTTCCTCTCATTAAAAACCTTAAACGGCCAGGGATACGTGCTTCCTGCTTAACCTGACAAGTCTCCATACATGAATTATTAAAATCGTCTGGCCGTATACTTAAAAGCCTCCACGGCAATAACATTTCATTTGGACAACATTTGATCCACAATTTGTTGACACTAAAATGTGCATTACAATTCGACTCCTCAATCCTATGGGGTGGTTAATATGGCTGCAGACGGACGTACTAGGACCCCCTGGCCCGACAGCCTAATTAAGCAGCCGTGGGTTATTTGGGGCTCTGTTTCATCATGCGAACCCCTGTGATCTGATTTCTGTTTGTGCAGAGTGTGAGGTGCCAGACTCCACACCCACATACATTTCCAACACCGGCTCTTTAGCCAGACAGCCATTCGCCAAAGCAATCATGTCTCCATTCAAGACACAGCGCTCTCACGCACAACATCTCCAAGGACACACACATACCAGTCACCTCTGCCGATCAATCATCAATACTGACTGAAGATTTACAACACAAACACTGAGATAGAGCAATTTATCTGCAAGGACCAGTTACACCGTTGAAGATAACTGTGCATGCTTAATAGCTGTGAATACTAATATTAAAATATAATATTAATAATATTAAACCATATTATGTGCATTTATATTTATTGCCAGTAAATTGACCAGTGACCACCCTGCTCTTTAAAAATAAATCACCACTGGTTGAAAAATCATAATAATTACTACACAAGTCCCATTCAAAAAATGTTTACTTAACAGTTCACAAAAGTTCACAAACTTCCTGTTAGGCCTTGAATAAAGGGTCAACTAATACTTTAAGCTCTCTGTAACTATTCCAAACTATTATTCTAATCCATCAGGGACTTCTTTAACTTCTCAGCCTGCAACTAATTTCAGTTCCACATTACATTTAATATGCAGCACATTCGCAAACCCCAGGGCAGCGGCTTAATGTGCCACAGCCTGAGCACCTCGCCACATCTGCTGTGGTCCCTCACATTAGCCGTGTAGGGTAAGAAAAAGCGGGCGGTGGGCAGTCCACAAATCCCAGTCACGTGCTGCTGACTTGAGCCAAGTCAAAGCAGACGGGGCAGAGGGGAGAGAAACCATGCAGGCAATGGCTTTAACAATAACTGTGACGTCAAGGTGACCCTCATAGCTGCCTCATTACTGCCACCTCTGGGGCTGCCCCCACAATGGACAAATGAGGATGGTTTTACATCTGGCTAGTACAAAAAATTGCTTGCTTGTATTTGTTTACCCAATAGTATTTTGGCACTCTGGGTTTCCAGTTGGTGGAAAACTCAACATATTGCCATCATGTAGGCCAGCAAATGAACTGGATCAGAGCAGTGTTGCTGTATCCACAGAATGTCCTCAAACTGGCAACTCGCATGAGCATCGAGTCTGATGAGGAGCGGGCGGTAGTTCAATATTTTGAATTAGGACTGTGGTACCCATTTCAACCTCTAGCTGTCATTATTACAGCTCGCACCTTTAAGATGTTATGGGTGGTTGCCAAGGAGTAATGAGCAGATTTTAGAGTGCTGCTAAGCCACATTTCTATTGCTTTTGACAAATGTATTAAAAGGAAAATAAATAAATGATCGGTTTCCACCTTATTTTGCAACGCAGAAGTAAGCTAATCTCTTTGAATGTGTGAGACTTCTGATTAATTTGCCTATAGGTTAGATGCGTACATATGAACCGGCGGGACATGAGCTAACACATACTTGCTGCACGTAGGGCTGGGCGATATAGCTAAAAAATGTATCAACGATATATGTTTCATATCGTACGGTATCGATAATTACTGAAATTGTTTATAACCGTTTAAAACAGAGCAATAGAAAAAAAATGTTTACATTTATATATACAGTATATATATATATATTTTTTTTTTTTTGAAAGACTAATACATTTATTCAGAATGGAACCATTAAACTGATTAAAAGTGACAGTGAAGACATTTATGTTACAAAATAATTTTATTTAAAATAAATGCAGTTTTAACTTAATAGTCATCAAAGAATACTGGGGAAAAATCAATCATCAATACTGACTGAAGATTTACAACACAAACACTGAGATAGAGCAATTTATCTGCAAGGACCAGTTACACCGTTGAAGATAACTGTGCATGCTTAATAGCTGTGAATACTAATATTAAAATATAATATTAATAATATTAAACCATATTATGTGCATTTATATTTATTGCCAGTAAATTGACCAGTGACCACCCTGCTCTTTAAAAATAAATCACCACTGGTTGAAAAATCATAATAATTACTACACAAGTCCCATTCAAAAAATGTTTACTTAACAGTTCACAAAAGTTCACAAACTTCCTGTTAGGCCTTGAATAAAGGGTCAACTAATACTTTAAGCTCTCTGTAACTATTCCAAACTATTATTCTAATCCATCAGGGACTTCTTTAACTTCTCAGCCTGCAACTAATTTCAGTTCCACATTACATTTAATATGCAGCACATTCGCAAACCCCAGGGCAGCGGCTTAATGTGCCACAGCCTGAGCACCTCGCCACATCTGCTGTGGTCCCTCACATTAGCCGTGTAGGGTAAGAAAAAGCGGGCGGTGGGCAGTCCACAAATCCCAGTCACGTGCTGCTGACTTGAGCCAAGTCAAAGCAGACGGGGCAGAGGGGAGAGAAACCATGCAGGCAATGGCTTTAACAATAACTGTGACGTCAAGGTGACCCTCATAGCTGCCTCATTACTGCCACCTCTGGGGCTGCCCCCACAATGGACAAATGAGGATGGTTTTACATCTGGCTAGTACAAAAAATTGCTTGCTTGTATTTTTCATTTCAAAGGCATCTGTGCTTGCATAACAGATGCTTAATTGGGTTTCAGTAGTAGTTTCATTGTAGCCAACCTAAAGTTCTTTATGAGTTATTATTAACTACTGTGCAA